GGGCATGGCTGAGAAGAAGCTGTCCTGGCTGACAGAACTGTGTCCTGAGCATTTCTGACTTTTAATTGTAACATTAATTTCTCTTATAAACCCCATGTCTATGAGTTTGATGGGAGTCCTGGTGTGGCACTGTGGGTTAATGTGCTGGACTACAAAGTCAGTTTGAAACACAAGGGCAGCAGTTCAAGTTTACCAACGGCTCCTTGGAAACCCTATTCAGGGTCTCTATGAGTCAGAGCCCTAAACATTTGTATGAAGTCTGAGCTCTGTATGCCTGTTGCAGTGGATTATCAAACCTAGCTGAGAAGTAGAGTGTGTTATAGACGGGACACTGCTGTCCGAATTGGTAAAGGGCGATGGTTGATGCCATTTTTGTCGTTTCCTGAGAGTAAATGACAGAGTATGAAATGGAAACATTCTCAGTCACTGGCCAAGAAAAAAGTTCAAAAGTCAACCATCAGCTGGAAAATTAATACATAGAGTTTTCTGAGATTCTCAAAGACCAGTATTGGAACAGTATCGGGAAAAAGGTTCAACAATCTTTTGCACTGCTTCTTATAGTGAGATGTTCACTGAAGAACTGAATCCTAAACTTCAGATTAAAAGTAGAGGACTGCTAGTCAAGGTCATTGTGATATTGCGTGACAATTCACATCCACACACCTCTGCCCACACTATTGATCATCTGCAAAAACTCCCTTTTGATGTGTTAAAGTATGCTCCCTATTGTCCTGATCTTGCTCTATTAGACTTTCACCTGTCTGGTCCCCTGACAGCAGCCCTTCTAGGATGAAGATTCACCTCTGAAAAAGAAGTGAAGACTGTGGTGCATTCATTGCTTGCAGCTCAGCCTAAAACATTTTTGAATAAGGTAACAAGAAAACTTGTTGACATATGGACAAAGTGTATTGGAAAGCACGGAGATTATGTTAAAAAAAAAAAAAGATGAATTTGTTGTTTCTAAAAGTTAATTAAAATAAATTCTACAACCAGAGTGCAGATAATTTTTGACTCACCTTTGTATAATGCCAGAGACTGAATTGTCTATATTCTTTGTTGTATTACTAATTTCAGGCTTGCGCCAGGCTGAAGAATGAATCATTAAACATTTGTTAAATGAATCAGTGGAAACTAATTGTTCTTTTAAAAACGGAATTATTCTCCATTGGATTAGCGATGACTCACAGCAACCTTCTGCACAACAGAACTAAACACTGTGTGGTCCTGCACCATCCTCACAATTGCTGTGACCTTAGCCCATTGCTGCTGCCACTATGCCAATTCATTTCATTGGGGGTCTTTCTCGGTTTCACTGACACTCCACTTCACCAGTCATGATGTCTTCTACAGGGACTGGTCCCTTCTGATAGTATGTCCAAAGTATGAGAGAAAAACTCTTACCATCCTGACTTCTAAAACAAATTCTGGCTGTACATCTTCCAACACAGATTAGATTATTCTTCTGTCTCTCCATGGTACTTTTAGTATTCTCTAATACCATAAAGGAGCTCTGGTAGCGTAGTGGTTACGAATTGGGCTGCAAACCGCAAGGTCAGCAGTTCGAAACTACCAGCTGTTCTGCGGGAGAAAGATGAGGTGTTCTGCTCCCGTAAAGATCTACAGCCTCGGAAACCCTCTACAGGGTCGCTATGAGTCGGAACCGACTCCATGGCACATAACAACAACAACAACAAATACCATAACTCAAATGCATCAATTCTATGGTTTCCCTTATTCATTCCAACTTTCATATTCATGTGAGGTTATTGATAATACCATGGCTTGGGTCAGGCACACCTTAGTCCTCAAACTGACATTTTAAAGAGGTCTTCTACAGCAGAATTGCCAATGCAATACATTGTTTCATTTCTTGACTGCTGTTTCCATGAGTGTTGATAGTTGATCCAAAAAGAATGAAGTCCTTGGCAACTTCAATCTTTTCTCCATTAGTAAGAATATTGTTTATTGATCCAGTGATGAGCCTTTTTGTTTTCTTTACATTGAGATGCAATCCATATTGAAGGCTTTGATCTTTATCAGTAAATATTTTTCAGTTTCAGCAAGCAAAGTTGTATCATTTATATATCACAGGTTGTTAATGAGTCTTCCTCCAATCCTGATGCCATGTTTTTCATCATATAATTCAGCTTCTTGGTTTATTTGTTCAGCATACAGATTGAATAAGTATGGTGAAAGAATACAATCCTGTTGCACACCTTTCTTAATTTTAAACCATTCAGTGTTCCCTCGTTCTGTTTGAATTAACTGCTTCTTGGTCTACAAGTTCCTCGAGAGCACAATTAAGTGTTCCAGAATACTCATACTTGTTGTCTATAGCTTGTCATGTCCATGTTGTCCATAACTTGTTCTGTTCCACACAATTGAAAGAAAGCCTTTGCGTAGTCAATAAATGACAGGTAAACATATTTCTGGTATTCTATGTTTTCAACCAAGATTCATCTGACAACAGCAATGATATCCCTACTTGCAAATCCTCTTCTGAATCCAGCTTGAATTTCAAGACAAAAACTGTATGAAGACTAAGGTGCACCTGACCCAAGCTTAAATTTCATGACAGTTGCAACTGTTTTTAAATGATCTTCAGCAAACTTTTACTTGCATGTGATAGTAATGATATTTTGTTAGATGATTTCCACATTCTGTTGGGTCACCTCTCTTTGGAATGGGCACAAATATGGATCTCATTCAATTGGTTGGCCAGGTAGCTATTTTCCAAATTTCTTGGCATGAATGAGTGAACTCCTACAGTGCTCCATCAGATTGTTGAAAGATTTCTGTTTGTAGTCCATCAATTCCTGAATCCTTGTTTGTTGCCAATGGCTTTAGTGAAATGGTTGAACATCGACCGTTGCTTTTTGGTACAATAACTGTGTGTATCTTCCATCTTCTTGTGATGTTTTCTGCATCATTCATAGCTAAAATGTTGCAAATTAAGGCTTGATTTTTTTTTCTCCAGTTGTTTCAGCTTATGTGTTTTGATGTTTTCTACATCATTCCACATTTATCTAAAATGTTGCAAATTAAGGCTTGATTTTTTTTCTCCAGTTCTTTCAGCTTATTTCAGAATAATGCTGATTGTGTTCTTCCCCTTTGGTTTTTTAACTCTAGGTCTTTGCACATTTTATTATAAAACTTGGCTTTATTTTCTCGAGCTGCCTTTGGACTTTTTCTGTTCAGCCCTTTCACGTCCTCATTTCTTCCATTTGTGTTGGCTTCTCTATGCTCAAGAGCAAGTTTCAGAGTCTCTTCTGACATCCATTTTGGTATTTTCTTTCTTACCTGCCTTTTTAATATTCTTTTGATTTCTTACTGTATTTTTGAGTATTCCTGTTTCATTATATTAGATATATGTTTTATTCTATAAATACATTGTTGTTATTGCTGTGTTGTTGTGAGTGGGCTCTGACTTATAACTACATTATGTACAACAGGATGAATCATGGTTGGGTCCTGCACAAACTTCACAATCATTGTTAAACTTGAGCCCATTGCTAAAGCTACTGTGCCAATCTATCTCTTTGGGGTACTTTCTCTTTTCTACTGACCTTCCGTTTAACCAAGTATGACGTCCTTATCCAGGGACTGGTTCCTCCTGATAATATGGCCGAAGTATGAAAGACAAAGTCTGTCCATCCTGGCATCTAAGAAGCATTCTGGCTGTATTTCTTCCAACTTGGCTTTGTTTGTTCTTCTGGCAGTCCATGGCACCTTTAGTATTCTTCTCTAAAACCATAGCTCAATTGCATCAGTTCTTCTAAGGTCTTCATTATTCATTGTCCAACTTTCACATGCATATGAGGCTATTGAAAATACCATGGCTTGAGTCAGTTACACCTTAGTCTTCAAACTAACATCTTTGCTCTTGAACACTTAAAAAGGTCTTGTGTAACATTTTTGCCTAATACAACAAGTCCCTTGATTTTTTTGACTATTGATTCTTTGAGTGTTGATGGTGGACCAAGGCAAAATACAGTTTGCTTACAATTCTTTATTGCATGCTTCACCAATGAACTAGATATTGTCAATGATTTTTTTTTTTAGTCTTAGTGAAATTTGAATGTTTATCTCAGCATTACATTAGAAATAAATTTTTAAAATCAAGTCCTTAAGATATTTTATTGAATTTTTTCTTAAGAATTATATTTCAGACAATTTCTTATTCCTAATTAATAGTAGTGCTTAGGCGTTGTCAGAGATGGTGGCAGAGATGGTGATGTGGAAGATGGAGCAGCCAGAAACTCCAGACTCATGGAGGGAGAGGGGCTGTATGCTGGAGACCTGGGGACAGGCTTGCAGTGTATACCTTTTGGTTGTTTGAATGATTATATATTCCTGAGTGTTTTGGTGTACATCCAAAAAAAACAAAACAAAACAAAAAACCCAGAAGGAATAGAAGCAAATACTGTTACATGATGATGCATGGAGGGGATTGTAATCATTGCAGTGAAACAAAATATGATAGGATGAGTGCAAAACTGATGTTCTCCCATGTAAACTATCACTCAATTCACAATAAAAACTTAAAAAAAAAAAAACCTAAATAAAAAGAGTAGTGCTTTGATGTGTAATAATATATACATCATAATTGTTGTTGTTGTGTGCCGTTGAGTCGATTCTGACCCATAGTGACCCTCTATAGGGGTTCCAAGGAGCAGCTGGTGAGCTTGAACCACCAATCTTGCAGTTCTAATGGCTTTGCAGTCTGGTGCATTAACCCACAGCACCACACCAGAACCCATACATCATAATAGATTATTTTAATAGTATATTATGAAGGAATGGAAATGTGCAAAAAATACTAATTTTAAAAATTACATTCCCTTTCTCACATCATTCACATGTTATGAAATTTGTTGTTTTGTATTTTTGAATTTTAACATGGACTTATTGTATTTTCGAATTATGATATATATTTATGATGATCACATGTCAATATGAAACACTATCTCTATTTTTTTTTTTTTTTTGATATCTAAAAGCATCTGAGTCAAGATCTGGAGGCCTCGTCATGCTCTTCAACACAAGGAAAATTTCAGCGAGATCAGTTTTACAAGTTTATCATTTTCCCTGGCAAATGGATTAAAGTCTGGTATGATCGACTTACTTTGTTGGCGTTGCTCGATCGGTAAGCCACTGGGCGTGTAGATGTACAACTGAAAGAGCACGGGGACACACCAACACACAGGCACATGGATTTAGAAAGAGAATTACCACTTGTTGACGCTCTCTGGAATGCTTCCAAACTATGATTCTCTTGTGCTGCAAACCCAATCAGTAAGATGCTGAAAACTTAATGTATTATAATTTGGCAATTAAAATAGGAGATACAAGAATTACACAACATGATTTAGGTTTAAGGTTAGATTTTGGGACAGTGTTCTGCTTTGATCTACTCTCATCTTAATAACTGGATAAGATATTTTTGTGGAAAAGTTAGAGACTTCCATAATGGAGCCCATGGCCTGACCAGATCAGATACAGGCATAGACATAGTGGGGACCATGAAGTGGAGCAAATCCTTGTTCTTCCTGGACAACATGAATCTAATTTCTCACCCTGATTTATGTACACTGGTATGGAATGTCAAGGAAAGCCTTTAAACCTTTTTAGTTTTCCTCACCTCCTTTTCACATCCTTTCTCAAGATAAATGCAGGGTTGGAGATGATATTACTGGTGGAAGTGGGGGGTAGTTGTGTTAAGGTTTGTTATGGTTGGTGATAGAAGTGTGACTAGTTTGGGACTCCCCATTTCTATTTTCCCTGCTTTCTCTGTTGCAAAGGACAATATTATGATCTTCAAAGAGTGTATAATTCTCACTGGAATCTTAGTTTGAAAATCCAAGTTCCTGTTACCTGCCCTCTCTTCAGCAGATGTTGACTGTTCACAGTTAAATGCCAGCCAGTAGGCACTGAAAAACTGATGGTTCCTACCTTGCTGCTGCTGACATTCCAGTGACTACTTGTCACAATAATGCCTTGTGATGTGATGTGATCACATATTTTAAATGATAACCCATCAATTGTGACCCATAATGAATCTATAGGACAGAGTAGAACTGCCCTCATAGGAGTCCTAAGCCTATCTTTATAGAAACAGACTGCTGCAGTTTTCTTTCACTAAGCTGATGGTGGGTTTGAACTGCTGGCCTTCCAGTTAACAGTGAGGCACTTAACCACTGATTCACCAGTATTCTTTTATAAAATTACAACAATTAATTTCAGGGAATGGAGTTAAAATGGTTTTTCTAACAATACTGTGTTACTCAAGGGTCACATATTTAACATAAACATTTAACACTTAACTAATGCAGAGCTGAAATCTTTCAAGAAAGCGAGGCAGCACAGGAAGCACTCACTCGTCTCTGCCAAACAATTTGGAAGACAACTATCTTTCCGACTGATTGGAAGAGATACATATTTGTGCCCATTCCAAAGAGAGGGGATCCAGCTGAGTGCGGAAATCATCAGACAATATCTTTGATATCCCATGAGAGTAAACTTTTACTAAAGGTAATACAAAAATGGCTACAATCATACACTGACAGAGAACTTCCAGAGGTTCAAGCTGGATTCAGAAGAGGCCGTGGAATGAGGGATATCATTGCTGATGTCCGATGGATCTTGGCGGAAAGCAGAGAATATCAGAAAGATGTTTACCTGTGCTTTACTGACTACACAAAGGCTTTTGATTATGTGGATCATGACAAGCTATGGACAACATTGTGAAATATGAGTATTTGGAACACTTAATTGTGCTCATGAAGAATCTGTACCTGGACCAAGAGGCAGTTGTTCGAACAAAACATGGGAACATGGAATGGTTTAAAATTAAGAAAGGTGTGTGACTGAGCAAATAACCTGAGAAGCTGGTTATAAAGAAAACTTGGCATTAACTTGTGATATACAGATGCTACAACCTTGCTTGCTGAAAGTGAAGAGGACTTAAAATACTTACTGATGCAGATCAAAGAGCACAGCCTTCGGTATGGATTGCATCTCAATGTAAAGAAAACAAAAATCCTCATCAATGGACCAATAAACAACGTTCTTATCAACGGAGAAAAGATTGAAATTGTCAAGGACTCCACTCTTGGATCAACCATCAGCACTCATGGAAGCAGCAGCCAAGAAATCAAATGACATATTGCATTAGGCAAATCTGCTGCACAAGACCTTTTTGTTGAAGAGCAAAGATGTCAGCTTGAGGATTAAGGTGCATTTGGCCCAAGCCATGGTATTTTCAGTAACCTCATATGCATGTGAAAGCTGAACAGTAAATAAGAAATACCATAAAAGAATTGATGCATTTGAGTTATGGTGTTGGAGGAGAATACTGAGAGTGCCATGAGCTGCCAAAAGAACAACCAGATCTGTGTTGGAAGAAGTGCAACCAGAGTGCTTCTTGGAGGCCAGGATAGTCAAACTTCGTCTCTCATACTTCAGACATATTGTCAGGAGGGACCAGTCTCTGGAGAAGGATATCATGTTCAGTAAAGTGGAGGGTCATAGAAAAAAGAGGAAGAGCCCCAGCGAGATGGAATGGTAAAGTGGCAGCATCAATGGGCTCAAGTGTGGCAACAATTGTGAGGTTACTCCAGGACTGGGAAGTGTTTTGTTCTGTTGTGCATAGGGTCACTCTGTGTCTGTACTGACTGTATAGCACCTAACAACAACAACGTGGAGTTGTAGGGTAAGCACTTGACCACAAGGTTGGTTTGAACCACAAGGTCGGCACTTCAGACTCATCCAGCAACTCCTTGGAAACCCAAGGCAGGGTCACTATGAGTTGGAACCAACTCACTGGCACTGAACAACAACAATAATCTAAGATAATATATTCTGTGAGTAGAGTCATTTTTATTTTATTTTAAATTTTATTCCTGTTAGAAAGAATGATTAAAGCTGGACTAGCTAATGTTAATCTTCCATGTTAAAATGAGATATTTTTGTAGTTTTCAAGGTCTCTTATGTTTGTTATGATACACTTGCCAACAAAACTGAAAATCCAATAAAGTCTAGACAGGGATACTAAAGAAGGTTATTTCAGCTTTCTAAGTGTATTTTTAAATCACCTTTCATGTAAACTTGTGTTCAGGGCACGCATGGGGGCAGTCCAACTTCTAGCCGACAGCCATGGATCCCTATCTGAGAGGTCAGGACTTAGACTCTGGAGTCAAACCTTTGGATTTAAATCCAGTACTTCCTTTCATTTGGTGCTGTGATCTTGTTGATGTTGTTGTTAAGTACCATCTAGTCAGTTTCAAATAATAGAAGTCCTGTATAGGGTTTCCAAGGAGTAGTTGGTGGGTTTGAACCCTAACCTTGTGGTTAGTAATTCAGTGCTTATCCTGCAGCACCTATAGTGTACAGATGATGACACCAATAATGCCTCCCACAGCACTACCTCTCTGCTGGATTTGACAATCTATTGCCACAGCTAACAGAACTATGGTACCGTACTCACAGTTATGGGGTTATTACGGAGGTTAACACTTGCAGTGCAGGATCAGAAATATCCAGGGCACAGCTCTGAATAACTTCTGTGCTGCATCCATGGGCAGGCCTCTTTCAGGCATTCAGCCCCTTGGCAATGTTACAGAGCTCTTATAACTGCCCCGAGGACACACCACTCCACCATAAGCCTCAGTCTGAAGGCACTCAGCTCTAGCTCCATGGATCAGCAAACCTAGCGCCCCCATTCTGCAAGCAAGTAACTCAACTTTGCTTGCTGGGAAGCCCACTGCTCTGTCTCATGCTCTGGTTCTTGGTTTTGCTGTGGCTACACTGCTGTTCCTCCATTGTTACGGCTTCATGTCATTGGGTTGAGGAGGTTCAATGTGCAGGAATCTTGTGGTCCATAGGCTGCTCTTCATTCCTGGCTCCTCTTCTTGGATGACAGTGAGTTCCTCTCTCCTGCTTCTGAGATGACTTATTTTACATCCACGTTAGTGTTCCAAGTTTTCACAATTAACCCTATTAACAATCATTCATAACTGAATCATGCCAGCCTACCACTACCTTCTGCCACCTTCTCTCACCCAGACCCATCTGGAAAATGTTATTTGTGGGAAGTTATGAGGACATTACTGGAAGCAACATATTCAATAATTCACTGCACTGCAGATGGCGAGGAAGTTTCTCTGTGCCTTAGTTTCCCATCTGCCAAGTAGGGGCAATCCCTCCTGTAGGGTGGTCATAGGAATCCAACCAATTTGGCACATAAAAGAAATTCTTTAAATGGTAGTTGTTGCAATTATTGTTTCCTAGAATGTGGCCCAGAATTCAGGAAGAAGAAAATATAATATAATATAATTAGGACAACTAGAATAGATCTTATCAAATTAAGCACTTTATTTATAAGCACTATAACCCTTTACTCACAGCCCAGATTAGCTTACTTTTCTTTTTATAAAAGATTATTAACAAACTTAAGAAAAAAAACAGTTAATATGGCATCACCTCCCATTCATGATGACCACATGTGTGTCCGAGTAGCACTGTTCCATAGGATTTTCAAAGCCATGACCTTTGAAGAGCACATTGCCAGGACTTTCTTCTAAATTACCTCTGCGTGGGTTCAAACCGCTAGCCTTTCAGTTAGTAGTCAAGCACTTAGCTATTTGCACCACCAAGAGACGTCTACTATTGTCAAGCTTAGTTATCTGATCTTCCAGGACACAGTCAATTACAGAGGAACATGAACTTGCCTGAACCTATAGCTAACAGCAAGAAAGGAGGAAGAGAAGCCCAGACTTCTGACCTAGAAAATCTAGCCAGTTTGGAACATTGCAACAAGAGAGCAATCCCCTAAAAGCATTACTGATCAGAATTTCCAGGTAACTTGATAAAATTACAGATTCCCAAGTTTAAGAAGTCCCTATGATACAATAGAACTATAGTATGACATACCTCATGAACTCAGCTTCTTAATTATGAGAACTATGTTCTATAATGTTTGACATACTGCATTTGGGTAAGACTGCTTTAAAAGAACTTTTAAAAACAAAAATGTCACTCTGAGAACTAAGTACCTGACCCATGTCATGGGGTTATAATTGTCCATATTCATAAAAAAACTGGACAATGAATATGGAAGACAAGAAAAAACAATGATGCATTTGAATT